TCTTTTGTGAGCCGCCCGGAGTCCTCCGGGAGTGGGCGGCATACAAGACAAATAAATAAATAAATAAATAAATAAATAATAAATCTGCAATAAAGAGATTTACAAATCTTTTTTGTCAGATGACTGCACAGCAATTGAGAAAAAAAGTTGAGAAATTACTAAATCAGAACATTATTCTATATATCTGTCACTCAGTTGTTTTTTTCTTCAGATTTTGTTTGTACCCAAGATCTTGGATCTAGTCAAAGGATTTGTATGCCAATTAGTATTTTCCTGAAGTGTAGGGCAAATAACACTGGAGTATTTTTACACTTTTCTCACAAACCTGCTAAAATGGCTTGAGGTGATCAGAAAGCACTTGGTAGAAAATAACTACTTGATTCTCAAGAGAGTTGTGCAGATTACAGAGATTACAACTCCCATATAAAGCTACTTGAATGATCGACCTCTTAGTCCAGTTCCAATGTCCCAACAAGAAGGGCCCTTGAAAAGTTTCAATTCAGTTCAATGGAGCTGCATCAGAATCCCTCAAGGACTGCACATAGATAGGCAGCAATTTCATAAAATACTTCTATTTATTGACTTTGCAAATTGGGATTGTCTGATTAAAACTAAGTCCAAAAATGTCATTATCCCACATGGAAAAACAAGATGTCCATCCCTTGGCCAGGAGAATAAATCCTTGCATATGAAATTTTATTTTTTAAAATATTTTTAAATAAGGCATATTAAGAGCTTTAAACACTGAAAATTGTTGAGATATGTTGTATTACGTTGAAATATGCAGAATGAAATGATTTCTTCAGAGACTGTACAAGACCTAGAAGAGAAAGAACACTTTAGATGTTGGAGCAACTACCTGGGAACTCTGCTTTCTAGAGTTCCAGGAAGAATCAATGAGTTTTGGGATGACTATTCAATTCTATGGATCTATCCTGGGTAATGAATTTGAATAGAGGAAAATTCTAAATTTTGAATAATTATTTAAGTCATTGGAGATTCACTGTGTCGTTTTCTTAAATGGCAGATTAATCTGTCTGATGAATAATGTATTTGGAAGAACATTTTCATGAGCAGAAAGTGTAGGAAAGTATTCAGAAATCAAACCATAATAGCTATCATGCGGCTTTTTCCACACAAAAGAGATCACTGACCGGTCAAGAAAGCAATATGGCTGTTCAGCAAAGTCATGGAGCAGGACTTACCAGCATCCTTGGTTTATGAGGTAGCAGTAACAATGTCCACCTTTTGAGCAGCTACCTTCTTTGCTTGGTGAGCCTGTAATACCGCCACAGCCTCCTCCACCTGTGATGGGGAAATTGCATTTATGGAATCCAGCTACCTTACCCCTTGTATGTGTACCCAGTATGCAAATGTGGCTGAATAATTCAACAAAGTAGGAACAGTGCTTCAGATCTGGTGCGGGTATGCTTCTGTTCCTGTCAGTGGCTCCCTGAAGAAGTTGCACATGAGATCTGAAGGGCTCTGTGGCCCTCCCTCCAACAAGCCAGCAGAAATAGAAAGCAGCCAATGTTTTTGGCCCAGGATTTGTGACCACTAGTCCTCACCTTGGAACGGAGGGATTCTGGAGACTCCAGCATGTGTAGCAGCTCCGAGTTGTCAATCTCCAGCAACATCCCAGTGATCTTCCCTGCCAGGCTGAGGTGCATTGCTTGGATCAATGGAAAGAGACGTTCTCCTGAAGAAGCAAAAATAAGAAAAAGGTGATGACTATTTTATTTAGCACATGGCATCCTGAGGTCTTCTCATAGTGATGTGCTCTAAGCCAGGAGATCACAAGGATTGTCTGCTGCCACTGTGGAAGAATTAGCCGACTCTTGTCATTGCCCAGAGGATGCCCGAGGTTAGGATTCCTACATTTTTCAGGAAGACCTCTTTGCCCACCCATCCATCACCATTTTGCACATATGGCTAGAGCAGAGGAGCCATCCAGAGCCATGAAAACCCCCTCGATGCATGGCACAGGTATTGAAAATCCCCAAGGGAGGGACGAGAGGGGGACTGGCTCACCCAGCATTTGCTTTTGCTCCTGAGGAGGTGCAGCAGCCAGCATGGATGCCGTCAAAGGGTCTTGTCCCTGCACGTGAACAGCAGGTTGTGGGGCCTGTGAGGAAACCAGGGGTTTTGCCATTAGCACAGACCACAAAGTGGTCCTGGAAGCTATTCTAGCAAATTTAAAAGACACACGAAAAATAAAGTGCTCAAGAGGAGGACATCATTTCCTTTCTCACCAAAGTAAAAAAAAGTCATCTCCTTTAGCTGAAAAAATTGCTCATTAAAGTGAAAGAACAACTTCAAGGATTAAAACGTATTAAATGATTTGAGATTTCCCCCCAAAATGTAATCTGAAAGGGCAACATCTTCTACCAATCAGCTTATTTGAAAACCCCCTGGGATGACTTACAGCTGTGTTTCTCAACTTCAGCACCTTCAAAACGGTGGACTTCAACTCCCAGGATTCCCCAGCTAGAAATGCCAGCCACTTGAATTCCATCTGTCTTAAAGGTGCTGAGATTGAGAAACCCTGACCCAGAGGCAAAACTGCTGCTCTCCTGGGCATGTTATGCCAGAGGTAATACAACACCAACAAGCATGAAATAATTCTTTGGATTACTAGGTGCAAGGCTGAGCGGCTTACATCTATCAAGAGAGGCCTATGTGCACAGCAGCACAAGAGTCACAATTCTTTGCATGAAATAGAATGACGGCTTTGTATGTCAGAAAGTAATTTGCTGCTCAAATATAGAAAGCCTGCTTAGTTAGAGCCGCATTTTCCCAGTGGAGGAAAAAACCTGCTTTCTTTGCCAGAATGTGGAACGTCTCAACAGGGAAGAAAGAAACATCAAATCCAAAGACTCGGCCACGGCTGCTGGGAGTCGGAATCAAGCACCAGGCCTGCCAGATCCTGCCAGGGCTCTGCCTTACCTGTAAAGGCTGGACTGCTGGGTGGGGGCTGTGGATGCCTGCAGCGTATCTGTATGGTGGAACAGCCCTGGGAGCCTGGGTGGCTATAGGTGGCCGAGGAGCAACCCCTGTTTAAACAGAGAGATGATGATCAGAAGCATCCATGTTCTTTCAGGCAAATGTTTTATTTCACATAACATCTGTTAAACCGATACTAGCAATAGTCTCTAGGCAGTTTATTTGAATTATTTCCTTTACTAATATATTTGTTGAATCAAAAAGCTTCTGCTACAATATGACAACCTTCTTCAACAATTGAATACCTTCCCTAAATATTTCACTAAATACCCACCCCCACCCCCATCTCATACATACACAACTCCAGCTCCCAACCACCATATTAGGTGAGTTGGCTGGAAACTCTGGAAGTTGCAATTCCAGCCCCTCCAGAGATTCTGGCTTAGTCAACTGTATTTTCATTCATTCATTTAAAAGATTTGTAGCAAATGCTACATTTACTACCAGAAGGATCTGCCCAACAGCAACTGGATTACTAAATCAGACCCAGCAGTTGGTCAATGTTTCCTGATGCTTCTGCAGCAGGGACGGCAAGCCTGTCTAAACCTAGCAAATCATAAATTGAGATTTGTTTCATAAATAAATGAAAAAATCCCAGAGGGACATCTCTGGGCCAAGTGCTTACCAGTCTTCTGGGGAGCACCAGGCACACCACATGATGCTTGAGCAGCATTTGTGGGAGCCAAATGCCGTAGCGTTGGCCGTGGCCCAGACTGGCGCATACTGTTGTGCATACCTTGGAAGCCTAGTTTGATTTTCAAGAAATGGGGTGGGAGGAGAGAAGGGAACGGCAAGTTACTGGCCAGTTATATTGGAGAGCTAAAACTGGAGGAAGGGTCATCCCTGGAACCAGGCCTCTGTGAGACCCCACCTCCCTTAGTTGCCCTTTAGGGTAACATGGCCCTCTTCCATGGCTCTTGAGAGAGAGGGGTCAGGGCTTCCAAGGGCAAACTGCTCTTCCACACATACCTTGAGGCCTCCCACCTGGCTGCCAGCGTGGACTGGGTCTCATCTGAGTCATCTGGTTAGGGGCATAGTATGTGGGTCTGTTTTGAGCCTGGAAAGAAAAAAGGGGCTGCAACAGAATCAGTCCTCCAACATGTTTTCGTTGCCCTCTTACAACACTTCTGTCTTAATGCCAGGGGGAAAAAGAGAAAAGTGCTAGATTGTATATCATCTCAAACTCTAATGCCATACCTAGCTTCAGTTTTTTAAACATGCTAAACTACCAAGACTACTATTTCAAATATTGTTTAAAATATGTTCACAACAAACCTCAGCTTTTGCACACTAGACTGGAAGCAACACATCGTGGAAGAAGGCAAAGCCCTTTTCCAAAGCACAAGTCCGTGAAGCCCCAGGAACTGAATCCAATTTGAAGGAGGCAAATTCAGCTTATTAAGTTATTCAATGGTGGCGCATTTTGACTTTCAAGCAGTCCTTTAAAATCATTCTGGAAGTGGGTTTGGGCACAGAATGGTTGTTTCAATTTCAAGTTATCATTTAAAGGACACCCCTACTCATAAATACACAAAATCTTTTATTTCCTGCAAGCTAAAGTTTAGCTTTCTTTTTTTACCATTTTCTCCTTTAGGATTTTCTGACAGGCAATAAGGAATTTAAATAGTTAAGATAGTACCCCAAAGTACCAGCACTATGCTTTTTTGGAGGGGTGATGACCCGGAGACATATTAAGATATTTAAAATTAAATAGCTGGAGCAGTGAAGATTCCAAAAATGTGTAAGGACACCCAGCTATGGCTAACTGGTTAAAGAGAGCTGGCTACTGCATGATGGAATCTGAGCTGTGATTGGTTGCTGTGAGTGTAAGGGTGTGTGTGTGTTCCTTCTTTCCCAACTTTTTCCTCTGTGTGCCCTCTGTGATTTACCTGACAGTGTTCTTGCTATGTTGATTTACCTGATGATGCTTATTTACTATAAATATATTTATTTATATAAAATGATGGTTCTTGACAGTGTCTCTGACTCCATTTGGAGACTGGATGTGTCATTCCCTGACAGAACAATATCATTTAAACCTCTCTACAACTGACATTGTAAGAATCCACTCCCTGGTCCAATGAAAGGGATTCAAATGGATTCCAGCAGCAGATCTATCTTGCGAAAAAGAAAAGAGAGCTGTAAGGGCCCATGAATCTTAGCCTTTGTGGGAAGCAGAAACCATCTGCTTTGGTAGGGGCACCTCTGAGACCCCCCTCCAAGGACAATTGTGTGGAGGACTCACCTGGGACACAGCCGGCATGAAATAGCCTCCGGAAGTCGGCTGGAACTGGCTAACAATGGTGTTCGCCGGCAGAGCTCTCATGCCAGCAATGCGCTGCAGGTATTGGTTGGTGAGGTGGGCCTTGCGCTCCTCCTTCCTCTGGGCCAAGGCCACATACAGCGGCTTGGATCCCACAATGCGCCCGTTCATCTCAGTTACGGCTTTGGTGGCTTCTTCTGGAGAGGAGAAGCAGACGAAGCCGAAGCCTTTGCTTCGACCATCTTCCAGCATCACCTAATGAATAGCAATAGCAATAGCAGTTAGACTTATATACCGCTTCATAGGGCTTTCAGCCCTCTCTAAGCGGTTTACAGAGTCAGCATATTGCCCCCACAGTCTGGGTCCTCATTTCACCCACCTCATTTCACCTCAGCCTGGAAGGCTGAGTCAACCTTGAGCCGGTG